TTCAGGGGTAGTGTTCAGGGGTAGTGTTCAGGGTTCAGGGGTAGTGTTCAGGGTTCAGGGGTAGTGTTCAGGGTTCAGGGGTAGTGTTCAGGGTTCAGGGGTAGTGTTCATAGTTCAGGGGTAGGGTTCATATTTCAGGGGTAGTGTTCAGGGTTCAGGGGTAGGGGTAGGGTTAACCCAGGAGCAGGAGGTTGCTGCTGCAAGGCATTCTGGGACAGAACATGAAGGATGAAGGCAGAAGCAGACTGAAGGTAAATCTTGTTAGAAACCTGTCTGTTCTTCACAAACCCTTCAGACTTTCAATCTTCAGCTGACAGTGAAGACATGAAGATCCAAAGTCAGGAAAGGTTACCCCCCACCACTCCCTGGGGCTCCTGCCACCCCTCCTCCCCCCTCCCGGCTGGTAAAAACCTGTTTGGGGACAGTGCATCTGCTCCATGTGCACAGCGCCATGAAATGGCAGCAGTGGCTCCAATCTGCTGCTCAGCGCTCAGGCAGAGAGGCCGGCTTGACGGGGCGGCGGGCTGGACGGCCGAGGCCCCTGGCAACGTGGCCCCGCCCGGTCCTTTCACCTGATTAGGAAACACATGAAGGAGCAGCAGACATATGTTTCCTGAACCACATGGAGAGCAAACAGAGGARAAACAACCAGAGCACTGTTTCTACCAGATATCAGAACTGGACTGGAGGAGGAGGAGGAGTATTCTTCATCCTGAGGACTCAGCACTAAAACTGATCCCAGGGCTCTGCACGTTCTGGAGGAACATGTGAGGAACAATCACTTCATCACCAGGAAGATACGATTGAAAACTGAAGAAAACATTTACAAAGATTTTTTTATTTTCTTCCAAAACACAAATAAAGTATTTCATTAAAAYGTATTTGATCAATTATTAAATCCTTTAAAATTTAAATAAAGATAGTCTCCAGCAGCAGCAGTGTCCTAAACTCTTTCAGGATGAGACTAAAATCAGACCTTTCTGCCAATCATGAACCTGTCACAGTGAATGACCTTTGACCCCTCACCTCTGACACTGAGCCGGCCGTGCACAGGTCCGTCCACAGCTACCAGGTAAACTGCATTAATATTGTCGTTGTCATCAATCTGCAGCTCCTGCCATGTGATTGGTCGAGACTGGCCCTCCAACAGGTCCAAACCTGAGACACACGAGGCGTTCGGGTGTCATTGGAAATCCGAGCAGCTCTTTTCAAGTAACTCCAGGATTGAAGGACAAACATACCCATGTTCCAGGAGACTCTGGGTGCGTTTGTTTCTGACGTCCTGACGGACAGGTGGACCAGGATGGGCAGGCTGGTCAGAAAGGACGTGTCTATCACCTGAAACTCCACCTGATGTCAGGTAAACAGAACAGGATGTGATCAATGTTTACAGATTGAAGTCTGAGCTGCTGAAGGTAAAATGTGTTTGATTGATTGATTGATTGATTGATTGATTGATTGATTGATTGATTGATTGATTGATTGATTGATTGATTGATTGGAAGATGTTGATTTAAAGTGACAAAACC